CAAAAAAAAAAAAAAAAAAAAAAGAGTCAGGAGAAAAGGAAAAAGTTTTGAGACTCGAATGCTTTGTTAACTGCATAGTGCATATCCAACTTCATAGAATCCTTATTTAAGACTATTTTAAGGTAGTGTGCTTTTTCTACTACAATAGAGGTGATACGTCCAATGAAAAGGGGTTACAGCCCTTTTGAATTTTACTCCCAGTTCAGCACCAAGTATCCAATTAATTCTCTACTTTTTTTGTCAAGGGGAAAGGGCTGAAGTGGCTGTTTTTTCCTTAAACTTCGGTTTATTATTTTTTTTAATGAGATATAACTGACATATGTTTGTTTCGGGTACGTAACATAATGATTTAATATTTGTATACATTGTAAAATGACTGCAATAAGCCAACGTCCATCACTACACATTTTTACAATGTTTTTTCTTTGTGATAAGAAATTTTAAGATTTACTGTCTTAGCAACTTTCAGACATGGAAAACAGTATTACAGTCACTGTGCTGTACAGTATATCCCTGTGACATATTCATTTTATAACTGGAAGTTTGTACATTTTGACCCCCTTCACCCCACATCTCTGACAACCACCAATCTGCTATTCTCTGTATTTATAAGTGAGATCACACGGTATCTGCCTTTCTCTAAGCTATTTCGCTTAGCATTAGGCCCTCAAGGGCCATCCACGTTGTCACAAATGGCAGGATTTCACAATCTCTTATGGCTGAACAGTATTTCACTGTGTATACATACCACGTTTGCTTTGTCCATCATCCATTGATGGATGCTTAGGCTGTGGAAGGGGTTATCTTTATTACTGTTCTAGTTCAATGACCGATTCAAAGACTAACAGTGCCCTTGTGAAGCAGCTCATTTCAAGCAGAGCTGGGTTATGATCTATTTCAGTGCTTCTCTCCTTTTTCCCTCTACTTGTACAGAATAAAGCTCCATGCAAGTAGATTAGTACTCACTGTCCAGTCTAAGCGACATGAAGATATGTCCAGGGAGCGTCTATGCCAACCTTAGAGAAGCCCTCTGCATCTTCTCTTACAGTGAGTGTGTTTCATTTATATTCACATCATTTATCTGTGTTTCCATCATCAGAAAAGCTGCAGTGCCTTCTGGGCATGCAGAACCTGCCTGAAGCTCACAAACTCTAAGTGATGAACGTCCCACTCTGCTGTATGAAATAGCCAGAATTATTAATCTTCTGCACGAATCAAACACAAGCTCTCACAGAAACAGGAAGGATGCTGACACACTACAGTTTTTGAGTGAAACAGACAGAGGAAGAAAAGAAAAGCGGGACGGACTCTTAGGGCAGGTCGTGTTACCTGAGTGGTGAGTGCATTTTTTTTGTCGGGCCGGTTCAATGTGATGCTTGTGATGCCATCTTGGGAGGTCACCACCAGGGCGTCACTTCCTGGCTGCTTCCTGTCTGCTGCAGGTGTCACCTGGCTGGAGGACTCAGAGGAAGCACTCAAACTGGACACCAAGTCCACGTAGTTATGCCTGGCGGTTTCCTGAAGAGAGATGACAATTTCAGCCCACGGTCAATGAACAAGCATTCTGAGAAACTTCCTGTGCTAATAAGTACACCTGGCAGTGAAGAAAGAACAGAGATTCTGGTTCGGTAGAGGGATCTCAAGGTCTAGAAGGCTCATCTGTAATGGCTTAGTAATGAGAAGCAACCCCTTCCTTTAGGAGCACAGCAAACGGAATAAAAGCAGAATGAGAAGTAAATGTACCTTGGGCAGACTGCCAAGAGCATTCCAAGCATCCCACTTGGCCTTATTGATAAAGTCAAGCACACCTGGTTTGGGCACATTACAAGGTCCTTCAGTGGCCTGTGAAAAGGAGAGGGGCAATTATTGGTCAAACGCCCATGCAAACTGGAGCCTTAAATAGTTAAGACCCATAAGATGCACGCTAGCGTGAACGCACCTTCCCCTCCCAAGGTACATAAATTTATTTGAATTTTCTTCTCCCTTTGATGCTGTTGCTAAAAATGCACAAGCAAGAGAAAAAAGACTGGAGGGACAAAATATGCTATTGGCTATCAGTCCCTAAAATAAGTTGTAACTGCCTATGCATGAAAATAATGCAAGATTAGGGTTTTGGGAAAGTATTGAATACTTTTTAAAAAATCATCATCATTCATTAGTTGTAGCGATGGTCACATTCCTCATACATGATCAAAATCTTCAAGCAAACAATCTTCAAAGGTAACTCGCCCACAAACATTTAGAACACACAGTGTATTCTGAAAACCCATTCAAAAGAAACACCCTCCCCAACACAGTTCCATGGCAGATATGTGATAACTGAGCAACACAGCTGCAGCTGCAGCTGCAGCTGCGTACGACGGGGCAGGGGTGGGGTCATCAGAGCCGCTGGCCCTTAGGACACTTAACTGAAGGATATGCGAGCAGAAAGCAAAAAGCAACTAAAGTTTACTTGTTTGAGGGGAGGCGCACTGAGTGTTTTGAGATGAAAAAAATATGCACTCAGTTATTTTCAGAGATGGCAATTTAAAACTTCATTTAATAACCATGCTTTTCAATTTCGTAATATAACTAGCTAAAAGAGGAAAGAAGAAAGAGGCTTTGAAAAACAAAGGCAGCAAAGGAGGCTAAGACTCTCCAAAGAAAAAGAGATAAGACTCACCTCGCAAGAGTTAGCCATCTGAGAAATTAGAGGCAACGCAGGCCGTAAGACTGCCCCCCTCCACTTCTGACACCAAGTGCAAGATTGGGGGGCTCCCGAAACCACCCTCAGGTTCAATAATCTGCTAGAATGACTCACAGAATGTACTGAAAGCTGCTGTACTCTTGTTTACCGGTTATTATGGGGAAAGGATACGGATTAAGGTCAGCAAGGGAGGATGCAGAGGGTGGAATCTGGGGAAGGTGTGTGCGTGACACCCCAGCCCGCCGCCAACCAGCCACTGCGGAGTCAGGACAGCGTACTCTTCCAGTCCCAGACTCATGTGTGACAACACACAGAGTACTACCCACGAGCGAAGCTCATTCAAGCCTCAGTGTTCAGAGTTTTCATTGGGGCTCCACCACCTCGGCATGATTAAAGTATAATTGCAGCCCCTACTCTAAATACCACTGTTAGACTCTCCAGGCAAACAAAGACGGTTCTATCACTCTTGGCATTTCAAGGGCTTAGAAATTACCTCCCAGAAGCCAAGGGCAAAGGTCAGACCTCTTTGGGGGCAAAGTTAAGTTCTTTACTATACTCACCAGTGTGAAAGTAAGAGAGGCTCATATGCGTCACAGGAAGAGAAAAATAGAAAACACACAGGAACCCAGAGGGGCTGACTTCCCAGGACATTTTTCAGACATTGTAACTTAAAAACTTGAGTTTTAAAATTTTGTAATAAAAAATTTCAAACATATACAAAAGTAGAATACTGTAATGAATTCCCAATCTTCGTCACCCAAATTCAGTAACTCTTATTTTTGCCATACTTGCTTCATCCACCCTTTTCTTTCCTTTTTTGCTTCGTTATTTTAGAGAATGCCAAACACCATACTATTTTACCCCTAGGTACTTAGTATGCATTCCTAAAGAAAAAAAAAAAAAAAAAAATCAACATTTTCTTATACAACCATGATGCCATTCAGAATAATTCCTAGGTAACACCTAATACTCAGTTCCTAATCAAATTTCCCCAATTGTCTCAAGACCACCTTTTCAGCTGATTTATTTTAATTAGTGGCCAAATAAGATCTACACCTTTGGTTGTTATATCTTTTAAGTCTCTTTTACTCTGGAGTGGTCCTGACGAATTACTTTTTGCCTTAATAATATTTTGAAGTCTAATATAATAAACTCTCATGTATACGCTCTTGGTAGGAAAGGCAGCAACACAAACCCTAAAAGCATTAAGGCTGCATTTTAGTACAACACACAGCATGTCTGTCTGGGGACCTATCTGCTCAAAGTGTCTTTATAGCGTACCCTAGGCATTTACCTGCTTATACAGTGCGTAGAGTTTTAGCTTCACTTCATTTCCTGGGTCCTTCTTCAAGAGTTTCACCTGGTTCATGGCGTTTTCAAAGTCCTTCTGGCTGCCTCTCATTGCTGGGCCACACAAATGCAGCTGAAGTGCCGGGAAACGAGCGACCTGCAGAGGACTGCGAACAGGCAGGCTGACGGCTAATCGTTCCCAGCCCTTACACGCCGAAATGCTACGTTTCTCCAGAAATAGCTTCCCTATACTTCCCCAGCCACCTGGCTGTGAATGGTTAGTGGTTTCCAAAACTGTCCCGAGGTAAGAAATCAGTACAGAAGCTAACGGCAGTAATGTAGCCTTCAAATTAAACAGAGAGAAAGCAGCCAGAAGCCGGGGAGCCCTGGAATTGTGCCACGGGCAGGAAGTCAGTAGAGGCCTGTGGGGTGGAGGACAGCGGGAGTGCTGCGCGGGGTGTGAAGATTGCAGAGCCACTTGCGTACAACTGAAGTGAAAGCAAAGACCCAAAAAGTTGTTTTTAGAAGTGAAGTGGGTTTCATATAAGAATGATGTGAGCTGTGTCAGGCTGACATCTCATCTTCCTGGTTGGTAGCCACTTGGAGCTCAGTGTCTGAGGGGTCCTGCAGGGGACATATTGATAAGAGCAGATGAAGTGACTGTATGCAGAGGGGTCATTCAGACTATAAATCCCCAGAGTTTGTGAGGACCGTCTGGTCCGAGAGTTTCAGTCTGGGCAAGGCTCCCCTCTGCTGATCCAAATAGCTCTCCAAGACCTTGGGGCACCAGCTCCTGCCATGGTAAAGGGGACTCTTCGGTCAGCAGTGGTGAAAGCCATGTAGCGGCCACCGAAGAATCAGCCTGCCTGGCCACACCAGCAGCCTGCTCCAGCATCAAGGGACTTTTATTTGAGGGCTGGCAGCTGGACATCAGCTCTTGGATGGCTTATGAAGAGGCATTATCCTGTATGCTACTGGCTTGTGAAATTATTATTATTCCCGCAGTGAACCTGTGTTAAATAAGAGTGGCAAAGACTATCTCAGTCTCTGAGTTTAATACGCCTGCCCCACCCCCAGACAAAATAAAGATACTGAGACCAAGGGGGTAAAGTACAAAGAATTCAGTCATTTGGGTCCCAAGGTCCAGAAACGGCCTCTGCAGTTGAAACTGAGTCCCCCTAAAACCGAGTTTCCTTACCGAGTTTGTGAGTCATCCCTCTGTCCAAAACTTTATTCCCTTTCTTGTCTCCTCTGACCTCAATCCTGGGCTAACTGAGCACTAATCAACCAGAGTCAGATGACTAAAACTGCTGCTGTTGATCACACCGTTTTTGTACTAAAACTGCTATTACAGTCATCATTGTTAACGTGCAGACTCAGGTTGTTTCCGCAGAGCAGGACGAGCTCACAGACCCCTGTGCCATGGACCACCTGGCCAGGGAGTTATAAGCCAGAGACATGCAATGATTAAATGTCACAAGAGGATAATTAACTTCACCTTCTTTGTTTTTCCCCTCAAAAAAAAAAAAAAAAAAAAAAAAAGCCTGTAACACAAAGATCAATTTGGAGTGGACCTGAGGCTTGTCCTCCCACTGCCTTGCTTAGTGCCCTGCAATAAATCCTTACTTTGCTGCAAACTCCTGCTGTCAGAATTTGGTTTTCTGCCCCTCAGGCACATAAGCCCTTTGCTCAGTCACATAGTCACTGATCAACAAAGTATAAACTTTTATCAGGTCAATTCCTTACTCTCTGCTCAGCAAACATGTGTGTCCCAGCACACATACAGGTGAAAGGAGGGGAAAATGAAGATGTAAGAAATATTCAGAGGAGGGCTTCCCTGGTGGAGCAGTGGTTGAGAGTCCGCCTGCCGATGCAGGGGACACGGGTTCGTGCCCCGGTCCGGGAAGATCCCACATGCCGCGGAGCGGCTGGGCCCGTGAGCCATGGCCGCTGAGCCTGCGCGTCCGGAGCCTGTGCTCCGCAACGGGAGAGGCCGCAACAGTGAGAGGCCCGCATACCGCCAAAAAAAAAATGTTCAGAGGAGAGATGAGCAGTTGCTGGCATTCCAGATAGAGAGCACTTCTTTCTTAGGGAGGTAGAGGACCTACTTGGGGGAAAGCTACCTGCCTTGGATGCTAGGCTGTGAAGCCTGCTGAGCAGACATACTCACCCCTCACCCAGAGATGTCTAATGAGCCAGGTGCAGAGCAGAGACAGCAAGTGCTACCAGGTAAGTAACTTTTTAAGCACACACAGTAAGCAGAGGGGAGGGGAAAGCATCAATGCACAGCAGTGAGGTCACAAACAAACAATGGATGTTCACAATAATGACCCTGAGTAATAAAGTTAATGGCATCAAAGATGATTAAAATAATAGTTACAAATAAAGCCCAAACCTAACAAATGTATCACCTCCTCTGCAATAATGTAACTTTCAAAGAGTAAGTTCAAACCTTGAATTAGCCTCATTCAGTAAAATTAGCCTTCTATGAGTTTTACATTAAATAATTGAATCCGTTTTTTTTTTTTTCCAAAAAGGGAAAAACTCTGCATCTTACATGAATTTGGCACCTGGCAAGTTACAAGCAGAAAATGAAAGGAAAACTTAAAATGTACATAAAGGGCGAAATGTGCAAGTTCTCACAAAATATGGTGCAAACTTATTTATTTTAAAATAGAGTTTTTAAAAAATTACAAAACACGACCGCTTAGTATATAAAATCGGGAAAATCATAACTCCACGCCCGAAGGCAACCGGCGCGTTCCAGGGTTTTCCCCTTGCCGTTGCACAGCCCGGTTCTGGTTTCCACGCGGGCCGGCTGTGCATCGCGCCACCATCACTAGGCAGGACGTTCTCCACGGAGCAGACGGGTCACCCCCACCTGACCGCGGGGCGCGCTCCCACAGCGGGCACGAGCCCGCAGGGCCGCTCACGCAACCCCCCTCACTCAGCAAAGCATCTCCGAGCCCGGCGGCGGGGGCGGGCGGGGACGCGCGCGGGGAGACCCAGCTCGGCCGTCCTGACCCTCCGGCCCAGAGGAGAGCGAGCGGCAGAGGGGCACCGGACGTCACGCTCTGCTGGAAGCCCGCCAACCCTGCTGCTACCGAGACGCGATGACAGACAACGCGCCCCCCGCAAGCAAGGCGGCGTCTGAGGGCGACCTTGGGCCCGGGCTCGGCACTTACCTGCTGAGAGCGCCCAAGCACCACCGCCGCGCCAGCCTTCCGGCCACTCCGGCCATGGCTGCTCCGGGGCGTGGGCGGGACTGAGGGCGGGGTGTGGGGTGGGGACTGACTCCCGGACGGGGCCGGGACACCATAGGTCTGAGCGGGGCCGGGGCGGGGCGGGGCCTGAACGCGATAGGTTGGAGCGGGGCCAGGGGCGGGGCCGGAACCCGGGGAGGGCGGGCTGGGGCGGGGCATGAAGGCGACCGGGGGCGGCGGGGCCGGGGGCGGGGCCCGCGCGGGGGCCGGGAGTGACAGATTGGGTCGGGTCAGCGGCCGGGGCGGGGCCGGGGCGGGGCCGGGGGCGGGAGGCGCGTGGCTCTGCCCTAGGGCCCTGCGGGGTAGGCGGGAGCACCGGCTGACCCGGCGTTAGAGGCCGGAGGCAGGGAGGCGGCCGAGGGCGTGTGAAAGGCACGTGTTCGCTCCGCACGGTGAGCGGCTCGAAGACAGACCCGGTAGAGTGGAGGCGTCAGACGTTCTCTGTCGAACAGTTTAAATCCAGCTTTTCAGGTCAATCACCGTCTCAGGGTATTTTTGAGTTCTGCCAAAGCATTTAACAAACTGTTTTTATGGGGAAGAAACCCTGAGAGTTGGAAGGGCCTTTGTCGCCTCGTCCAGGTCCCGGAGGAAAAAATTCCGATTTTTAGATGAAGGGAGTTGACACCTGCGGACCAGCTAGAGCGAGCCAGGCTCGTTGTTATCCTCTGAGCAGCCCTGCGGGGAAAATGCTGTCGCCCTGTTTTGCTGATGTGTAACGTGAGGGCCGCGAAGATTAATTAGGTGACTTACCCGAGGACCATGAGACTTGCAAGTGGTCAAAGTCCCAAGTAATTTTATTATTTGTGCTTCATCATAGGTGGGGGGCAAGACTGAAGGCCGTGTAGAACAGTTTGGACTTATTCTGAACCCTTTCTCCAGATGTTACAAGGTGATGGCTGGTAGGCTGAGCTGAGCCTCTCAAAGACCTGAGACCCTCTCTCAGGCTGACTTAAGTAACCCTCGGAGGTAATGGAAATGCCTGAGAAGAGATTGAGATACTGGAAGACTCACTGGGCTCCGGAAGGTGAAACACCACCCATAGAAATATTAATTTAAAAAAAATCCCTTACTGGTAAGCATATTTGGATGGTGAGACTTTTCATAAGACAAGTGAAGTCTTCTCAGGCTTATGCCTACTATATTTTACACAGAAAAGTGGGGTATGGGAAATTTGCTGTTCTTGTCAAAGTATCATTTAAAAAATACAGGAGCATGTGTCAAAGATTTACCTAACCCATTAATTAGCAACCAGCAGGATGATAAAAAAGAATTTGAAATACTGGTTTATAGAGTCAGTGTAAAAATGAGTGCTGGAGTAGACTGCAGGGTTAGGTACAAAACTGGCTGATGTCCTACAGAGCAGTAAGACCTTAATCTCTGGGGCAAAAATTCTTTTTCCCTATTGGACAAAACAGGTGCATCTCTACTAGCTGTCATTTACTGAAGACCCATTCTATGCCAGTGTTTGAGTGAGGGGAGAAGGTGGAGAAGACAGACGTTCCTGGCAGAGAGTTCATCTTTGGTCCACCTTTGGTCCGTTAAACTGTTCCCAGGAGTCCAGGCCATGCCGTTTAAACGTGGTTGCTATGGCCTTGTGGGCGGAGACCAGTACTCAGCCAAAGGGAAGCATTGTGAGTTGTTCAGTGTTCCACCTGAGCGTGAAGATCCTTGGATCCATGCCCAGGACAGTGCACTCTCTGTTGAGCCCAGTGGAGATCCACTGAAGGGAAAACCAGTGTGTCTGGTCATCCAGTTCTTAGTCCGGTCATTTGCTCCCCATATACTCCCACTATGTCCTCGGAGTGTAATGCTTCTAGAGAAGACCAAGAAACGCGGAATGGGCTTCCCTGGTGGTGCAGTGGTTGAGAGTCCGCCTGCCGATGCAGGGGACGCGGGTTCGTGCCCCGGTCCGGGAAGATCCCACGTGCCGCGGAGCGGCTGGGCCCGTGAGCCATGGCCGCTGAGCCTGCGCGTCCGGAGCCTGTGCTCTGCAACGGGAGAGGCCACAACAGTGAGAGGCCCACGTACTGAAAAAAAAAAAATAAAGAAACGCGGAAGCCCAGCCAAGACCTCACCTAAAGCTCTTAGTCATCCTGTAATATGAGCAGGTTCCCCCAGTGCTTATGAAGGCTTTGGGAGGGGGATGTCTCATCTGGTTAGATCAGGGGAGGGGTCTGCCTAGGAGGGGAGTTGATCCTGTTCTGCATGCAGAGAATCCCAGATACCCCCTCGTGGCCGCAGGTGCCCGGGAGGAGCTGTCCCCTGCTGTAATGAGTCTTAGGGGCACAGTGTTGTGCTCAGTGTTGGAGCTAAATGTTTACTTTTTAACATTACAGAGTAGAATCTACCATGTTTGACACTCCTGCAGTCATAGTATTATTTTAATTTCCGATCTGTAAACCATCAGGTGCTGTTATAATGATGTGTGAAAAGCCTGTCGTGCTCAGTCACGAGGGACATTCTGACATCGTTGTTTAGTTAACCGTGCAGACCGGGAGCCGGAAGCACCCGGGCTCCCTCTGTCTCACTGACGCATCACTTCTGTTGGTTGCTACGTCCTGGTGATCCTGCCTCCTAAGTATTTTTTCATTTCCCCCCCTTTTCCCCTGTCTTACCTCAGGTGCTTATCATGTTTGCGTTACTGTTGCTTAGATAACTGGGTTCCTATAACAGCCACTGACCGGTTTTGCTGATCTCAGCCCTACATCTGCAATCCACTCTCTTCCTGCTTCCTGACTGATCTCCACACCTTGTAAACCTGACACGAGACTCATAATTCTCCCCTAATCATCCCCTGCCTTGGCTGAAAATCTCACAGTGGGACCCCTTCGCCTCTGAACAAATCCAGACTTCTTAGCCTGACGTATAAGGTCCTCAAGACTTGGCCCTAGCCTACTGCCCAGTTTATCTCTCACCAGCCCCACACTTGAACCTTTTCGTTTCCGGTGAACTTGGGATGCTCAGTTTCTCTGACTCTCTGTATTTGCATGTTCTCTCATTGCAGGCACTATCTTATCTAGGAAGTCTCCTCTGACCCTCCACTGGGTGTGTCCCCTCCTTCTGTGATTTCACAGGAGATCTCCGGTGATCTTCTCAGGCTTCTCTTTCTCAAAGTAGCTGTCACTATGTTATGTGTGTGGTGAGTCATTTGTCTTATTACTCACCCAAGGGACACCCGGGGAAGTCTCCTACCCTTACGGTAAACCCTTCTCCTGACACACTCCGTGACACAAAATACCCTGTGAATGTGTGTTAAAAGTTCTTATCTCCGCCATATTTTTCCATGTTTGATAATATGTTGTGAGTAAATTGCTACATTTTTATTAAGTTGTCAGAAGGAATTAACATCAGTGTTTTTGTGCTTTGAAATATTTCTTTTTCAGTGAGTGGTAGCTCACGGAGAAAGAATTTGACTATTGCTAGGTTCCTGCAGTAAAACAAACTAGAAAAAGTGGTACCGAGGAAACTATGGTTTTATTAACTCTATAAATTTCTGGGGGGAAAATATGTTATGTCTTCCGTTAGTCGTTAAAGATCGTTAGTCACGTTCTGTGTTCTGTATCACAACTGTTTCCTGCAGTGACATTGCTTGAGATCAGTGAAACCTATGCTGCTATTATGCTTTCTTTTCCAAATTAATGTTCTTTTTCTTTTTCCTAGTCAGGCTTTGTATCATCTTCCTACACAGCCTTGTATGTTCATGTCAGAGATATTAATGGTAGTCTTCTGGAATCTTATATGCTTTTGAATGTTCTTTCCTATTCCCAATAGTTGTGATTTAGAGAAGAGAGACGTTTCAGAAGTAAACATTTGACTCACTGTTCTACCCCTGCCTTAGTGTTCTCATCACCTGTGTGATGTGTTCATTCACCCAAGGCTGGTTTTATCCACTTTTTGGGGGGTTGTTTGTGCAAACATTAAACCAGCCTTGGGCTCCAGGATTACTTTTCAACTGGCAAAGAAATCTCCCTCAGGCATCCCCGTCTGAAAATGACTGGAACTGATAGATATTATTGTGTAAGAAATGGCAGGTTTTTGTCCAGAGTCCTCCCAGTTCTTCATGTTTTTACACCAAAGCTTAACTTATAACCTGTCCGAATGCATAGAAAAGAACAAGAACAATGGCCACAATAAGAAGTCAGCTGAAAAGAGCCACAAAAAAATCATAAGCTCTGTATTCAGCACAGCGTTATCTAGTAGACATTGGTTCCAGGGTTTTGAAAGAGAGCATCCCTGTTTGGTGGAACAGAGGGCATCCTTGCTGACCAGCAAAGGTGACCCAGACTCTCCTTTCTGTATAAGAAAGTTTAAAGTTCTCTTCATAAGTCACCACTTTAAGACTTTAAAAAAAGATTGAAAAGACACAGTCAGTCCTCAGTATTCTCAGATTCTGTATTTGAGAATTCACCTAACTTGTGAAAATTTATTCGTAACCTCAAAATCAGTACCCCTGGGGCTCCCTCTGTTATTTGCAGACACGTACAGACTTGAGTCTCCCTGCATGCGTGTTCCCAGCTGAGACTGATCAAGGAGACCTCTGCCTTCTTATTCTAGCCCACACTGTAAATACATGTCCTTTTTGTGGTCTATTTAGTATAATGTTTTCCACATTTTTGTTTTTTGTTGTTGGTAGTGGTGGTGCTGGTGGTGATTCTGCTGTTTAAATGGTCCCCAAGTCTAGTGCTGAAGTGCTGTCTAGTGTCCCTAAGAGCAGGAAGGCTGTGACCTGCCTTACGGGGAAAATACGTCATTCAGGCATGAGCTACAGTGCTGCTGGCGTGAGTCTGATCCTAATGAATCGACAATATGTATTAACTAAGATGTCTTTAAACAAAAATACATATCAAACAAGGTTCTGTGTTGACCAGTTGATGAAAATGTTGTGCCCAGAGGCTCACAGGAACCTGGCCCTGTGTTTTTCCTAGGATACCATGGGTCGGTATCCGCTAATTCAGTATTCACTAACTACATTGACTTC